AAAGACGAAATTAAAGACCGAAGGAGGGGGGGCTTTTTTTTTTTTTTTTTTTTTTCCCCCCCCCCCCCCATTGGCAACATCAGGTACTATTTTGTTGGTCGGCTGGGGTCCAAGTATGCTCACTACCCGACAGTCACGCAAATTCATACACTACAAGGAGACCCCTTTTCTCCCGTTTTTCTTAATCCCTAATCGAGACGAGCACGATGTTCACGTTGTAAGCATTGAAGTGCTTTTGGTTTGCTGTTTTGAGGTTCTCTCTGGAGGTATGTTCGAGCCAGCATGTCGCTTTCGGGGTACCTGCCTCCTCTCTGTGACCCGAAAGATGGACACCTGCTTATGGATGGGGGTTACATCAACAACTTGCCAGGTCTTTCATTCGATCTGCCGATCTGAGTTTTTGATCTCTTCTTCATCTTTCAACTCTGTTCTAAATCTTTTTTTTTTCTCTCTTTTTTTTTTTTTTTGTCACTGCCAGCTGATGTGGCACGCTCCATGGGGGCCAAAGTGGTGATAGCTATCGACGTGGGCAGCCGCGATGAAACCAACCTCACTAATTACGGCGACTCGCTGTCAGGCTGGTGGCTGCTATGGAAACGCCTCAACCCTCTGGCTGAGAAAGTCAAGGTAATGGATTGATTCAAAAAAAAAACAAACCCAAAAACAATTATTTTAGACCTAGTCTGGACTTTTCGAGTCATCAAGTACAATTTTAGCAGGAGAGGGTTCCTTTTTATTTTATTGTATTTATTTTTTGAGGGGTTTCTCGCTTGTGCATGCGCTCAGGTGTTGAACATGGCAGAGATTCAGACCCGGTTGGCCTACGTGTGCTGCGTTCGACACCTTGAGTCGGTGAAGAGCAGCGACTACTGCGAGTATATCCGACCCCCCATCGACAGATATCGGACGCTGGAGTTTGGGAAGTTTGATGAGATCGCTGTATGTTTTCATATACAATACAGTATCATGTGTCATTTTTTTTCTTTCATAAAAAAAAAATCACGTCTACACTGTGATGTTAGGAGGTGGGATACCAGCACGGCAAAACTGTGTTTGACGTGTGGAGTCGCAGTGGAGTGGTGGACAAAATGCTGAAAGACAGACACCAGGAGGAGTTTCACAACACGCAATGCAAGAATAACGTGAGCGCCCCCTTTGGTCACTTGGCCTTCGTTCTGTGTCTTACATCACAATGCTTTAGAGACGGCAGAATTTTTTTTGTGCCGCGCTTGAAAACACGATTCCAGCACGACAAAAGCAGACTTGACATTTTGATGAAGCGTTCCATCAATAATTGGCTCTTTTCCCATCATTCCGAGACCAGCTGTAATCACCTTTTATGCTGCACTCTGTTTTTTTTTTTTTTTTGCGCCAAAAGTGCCTCACGGCTCTCCGGCTTTCTCTCTTTGGCTTTTCTTTCCAGTTATCGCTCATCGCTCTCCGGCTTTCTCTCTTTGGCTTTTCTTTCCGGTTATCGCTCATCGCAATGTTGTTATCTGACCTGCTATCAGACAGCACCAAAAATACTTCATTCCAAATGTCGAGTCAGCCTGACTTGTTCTGATGCCTCAAGAATGATAGGTGACTCGTGTTGTCTCGTGATTCACGTTTAGATCCCGGTGGAGCTCCGTACCGTTTATTTCCCATTCACCGAGGTTGTCTTTGTGCCGACCAGGTGTTGACGTGCCCCAACGCTTCCTTCACTGACTTGGCGGAAATCGTCTCCCGCATTGAGCCTGTCAAACCAGCCCTGGTGGATGGTAAAAACACACACACATGCAGTTTCCCCCTCACCTGAAGTCATTTTTTTCTTTGTCGCATGTGCAAACAAACCCAAGTACACTCATAGTACACATGCATGTTGATACTATTCCATATCCTCATTTCTTCCTTTTTTATTCAGAGTGCTTGATCTGTTCATTTATTGCTTTTTTGCAAGAATGAGTACATAAGTGAGTACCGTAAAGACACAGTGGAATCGCCATGGTCCAACAAAATGGCTTCCAGGAAGCTGATCAACCTCTTTTTTTTTTTTTTTTTTTTTTTTTTTAAATAGAAAATTGGGATAATCAGTTGTTGGCTCATTCAAAAGACATGATAGGCAGTTTATTTTAAGTACATTTTTAACTTCCTGGATTGATGAGCAAAAATATGTTAACCGCTCTGAGTGAAACAAAACACTCACTTTGAAGTTGAAGAGGCACAATGTGGGGGTGAGTCATGGCAGAGTTGCCAAACTTACTAGCACTTTGTTTTGCAATCGAACGCCTTTACCGATTATTTCAAAGTGACAGTGCAGGAAATGTACAAACGAAAGTGAATGCGTAAATGTATTGAAGAGTCCGTAACATGTCTGGGGAAAAAAGGGCAAGCATATTCCAATGTTCTTCTGTTGAGAAACTGAAATGGACTGTTTTTAATTAAAAACCAAGTTTTAATGATTAATCGATTATCAGAATGATTCGAGATAATTTTTTTTGACAATCAATTACTTGTCGATTAATCATTGCAGCTCTCATAAGAAATAATGAAAAGCGAAATAATCTTCTCCAGAGCCAAAATGTTGATATTAAAAAAAAAAACAAAAAAAAACTGCGTAGGCAATTTGAACAAGTTATCTACTACATTATTTTTATAGTGCTTGTCCTAATTAGGGCTGGGAGTAAGCTGGAGCATTTCCCAGCCTCCGTTGGGCAATAGGCGGTGATACACCTTGAACCATACAGGCCGCCGGCACTTGAGCGGCTTTTGTTTGCATCAATTCGGTGAGCCTACAACCGAGCCCGTGATTCCAGTGATCCTGTCTCAACTCAGATTTTGTGTGATTTGAAATGGTCCTATTTTCTCAAAAAAAGAAAACAAAAATTGTTCCAAACTCAAATATGTTGGACTTTCGAGGTTCCACTGTATTCTCCAAATGAAGCAAAAGCCATAAGTGACAAACAGTATTTTGGTTTCACTGCAGCAATGGTGCGCGCTCATCCAATCGCGGCTTGTTTCTCATTCCTCTCCGCTCTTCCGACCTCATCGCTTGCACGCCCACTTCCATCTGTCCCCACCTCCACGCTTCCCCGACAGCCCCACAAATGTGATCTCTTTTATTCTGATTTATTTATTTTCCCTGTCCTCACCTCCCTCCCCGTCAGAGGAGTCAGACTACCACACTGACTATGACGAGGAGGCAGTGGAGAGCGCACTCTCTGACCTGGAGCTATACGGTCACTATGGAGAGCATACTGAAGGGGAGGAGACTGCGGACACGGTGCGGGCCTCCGGTCGCCGTACGGGTCGGGTGATCTCTCGCAAGCGCTACGACTGCTGAGTCACATGTTCACTCTTGTCAGGAAACATTCGACGTGGGTTTCAAGTTGAACTGGAACGGGTCCCTCGCATGTACACCATGTCAGATTATTTGTACGCCTATTCAGTTGGAGTGAGATATTTAAACGTCATTCTCGCCAAGAAATATTCAAATATTGTCATGCAAATGATTTGATTAATTTCTGATTTTGAACATATATTTTTGACTATATTGGTGCATAATCCCCAAAAAAATCGCATTATAAATTAAGGCACTGAGCGATTTAAGGATTTTTGTTTTGTTTTGTTTTGAAATGTCCTGTTGATGGCTATGCAATATGGATTCCATTTGACAAATCATGTCTCATTTTCTGGTGACATCGCCTCTTAACGAACCACTTTGCAATCCTCAGGATGAAGATATGGATGAACGAAGTATCCGACCCGTCAATGCGGTATCCGGTCACGGACACTCCCTGAACATCTCAGCCAACCAGGAAGTACTATCCAAACGTTCCGCCAAGTAATGAGTGCAATAACGAAAGAACATTTAAGACCACCACGTTTGCCTCAGTCAGCACTCCGGTTTCGACATCATGACTCTTAGCGATTAGCCTTCATTCAGCTTCAAGTCCCGCTCGTTCCCAAATTGTCATCACTTCTCATATTGAGATGGTCGAGCTTTGGATTGCAATTAGTTAACAAGTTAAGGAATTGCAAATTTGGCACCACCAGGCCTTAATACTCCTCTCAATTAACAACCTAAGCCGAATACAGTATTCCCCCCCCCCTCCCCCAACCACAACTTCTTAGAAAACAAATTTTGTGCCATACCTAAAGACACTGGAGGGAGCAGCAAAGTTGGACAAAAAAAATAAAAAATAGGACCAGCCACAGTTTGGCTGCCCCTTTTTTTTTCTTCACCTCGGAATTAATTAAAAAAAAAAAATGCAAATGCCTTGCTGTTCCCCTCTTAACGAATAAAGTGGTGTCGTAAGGCTTCAGGCTGACCTGAAAGGATACCGTCAATGCAGAATGCCTTTTTGCTTCCTAGTTTTTGCTGTTTACAGGGGGGGTAGAAAAAAAAATGCTTGAGATTTTCTTGACTGTTTTGGGTGTGCCTGCGCCGCCTCTACTTGCCATGTGAGATTTCTCGTTCCGCTCCCCAAACAACAGCACCAAATGTATGCTGACTGTGTGGAGAAACCGTACAGAGAACATATCGAACCTCAGCCTTTATGCACAGGTAGCTCGCCCGTCATTCCAGATATGCACTTCAATGCAAATGTTGATTTTTTGTCGTTTTTGTTTTGTAGCCTGATCAAACTCCGTGTTACACTTTTTTTTTCCGTTGTTGAAATATGTATTTTGTCACAAACAACAATCATTTAGTTGAATGTAGGTTGCAAAGTTGTGCTAATCCTTCAGACATGTATAACGTACTGTAATTAAATTCACACTCACAATTGTATCATTTAAATTCTTTAATCGTGAGGGTAAGAAAGCCCACAATTTTAAAGTGCAGAGCAACATTTAAATTCAAAATGAAAATGTCTGACAGGATGCTTGTCTGATTCCGTTTTTCCAATCGAATGCAAAACAAATCTTTAACAAGGTCAAACTGCGGTCATGATAAAAACCTTTAACTGTGTTTTTTTTTTTTTTGTGACAATTTTCATGCAACTCAACAAATATGTTAACTGCTATTAAAAAAAAAAACAAAAAAACGTATTCTTCATTTTAAACAAAGGCACAATGTCTCGCCGCTGCCTTTTGCAACTCATCCATATTTGTCAGCCGTAAAAACAAATTCAATGCAAAACATAAAAGCCAAATCTATGCCTTAACTTTGAGAGAAAAGCCCTCCAGCCTCATCATGCGCATCTTTCACTCAGTTGTTGTGGCTCGCCCCTCCTTTGTTGACGCAGCGCAATAAAGCCCCCCGAAAAGAAGCAAATGCTTTCATGCTCCAAGGCAATTGTGCGATCTTAGAATTCAACCTCACATTTGATGCTCCATTGGATATCAAGTCTACACACGCCTATTCAACCAGGTTTTAGTCATATATAAAAAGACCGAGATGAATCATTTAAAAACCTCTTCTACCATGAATATGACCTCTACAGCTCATTTGAATATTTGCATCCCCCCCTTAATAATGACTGAAATAATGTGCCGGCTCAAAGCTTCAAGTCCAGCTGAAGGAAAAACATTTAGCCGATTTTAGAGTCACAAGATTCACTTCCTTCCATCAAGATATCGTTATTGTAGAGAGTCATTCTGCACTACCGGTAGTTAGGAGAAAAAAAAAAAAAGAGTCCGTTTCCGCACAATTTAAAATGTATACAATTTAGATACAACGGTTACAGGTTAAGGAGGCTGTCTCAGGTGCTCCCAGTCTGGATTGACGGTACACAGATTTGACAAACCTCTCGCCAAAAGTTTTTAGCCAATTCAGGCCAAATTGTGTAAACGTGAATTGTTGCCTTCCTGAGAACGAACCGTCATAGTCTTGATTCAAGTTAGTGCCGAGATGAAAAATGTGATTGCAGTCACACACTGGCAACCACGGTTCTGACGTCACTCTAAATGCAAAATCATGAGTGTGACTTATGAAGGAGGCCCCCCGCCCCAAACCGCTCAGCAGCAGGTGCACACATACTCACTTTAAGTGGTGCTTGGTGTGTACTGCCTCCTGTTTTTATTAATGAGTGATGCAGGCTATAGGTCATGTTAATGGTAGGGTGGGTGATTTATCTTTTTCTTTTCTTTTTTAATAATCACACAATCCTGGCATTTGAACAGCTTTTTCTATGCACCTTATTTGGAGCCAAGGGGTTGTTACTTCTGGTCTTGGGGTGTTTCCAAAAAGCACAAAGAAATTGAAGTTTGGCCAGACTGAGTGTTTCACCAGTTGTTTGAAGCTGTGATGGATGAGACGCTGATGCTACGTGTGGAAGCACGCCAGGTGACTGAAACAAACACACTAACGCCAACCACTTGTGCTCTCATTGAGCCTTTTAGCTTTCGAGAAGCGCACAATGTTTACCGGTATGCCTTCACTCCGTGCTTGATGAGTATTTATGTTGTATCATATGTCTTTTGATAATCAGCTGTTACTAACGAAACACTATTGTGCAATTTGTATGTTTATTATAAATAAATGATTCCATTGAAGAAATAAATGAGCAGCCTGGCTGGTGTTTCCACGGTTTACACACCTCCCATAATTCATTTGCTGTATACATGAAGTATTTCGAAGTGACAGTTGAGTTATGCTTAATATTTTTGGGAAAACCTTTCAAGTCTATAGTCCACGGACGTCACCATTTTCTCTGATGCCTTCACCACTTTTTTTTTTCTTTTCAGCGGGGTGGCCAGAGTGACACATCGCAGTGAGGGGTAGCAGCGCATGCGTCTGTCACTCTTGTCAAATCATCCACAGTCATAGGGTGACCACATTTTGATAAAAAAAAAAAAAAAAACATAGCTCGATTAGAAGATAATCCTGACAACACCTCTGTCAAAGTACACTATTCACGTCACTGGAGTATTTTTGGAGAGCAAACACTGACATTTCCTTTCAGCATCCGTCAGCCCCGCCGGTGACGTATTTTGGACAAGAGTGAGGTGTTCATGTTTATTCCTATTCAAAAAAAAAAAAAAAATTCTCATCATGCAAGGGCGCTGGAACAAGCAGATACGACTTATTTTCCAGTTGACCTCCCATGTTGCATTTCTGTTTAAAAACAGAACATCCAAACTGCACTCCTACACACAGGTCACGACTTTTATTTAAAAGGACTCCGGAGAAGATGAATATATTAGCGCCCTGTCGATCTGCATAGAAAGCACACTGTGTTGGATTTTCTTGCGCTGTCTCACATGACATTAACACTCAAACAAAGACTGACCCATTTACCTGTTTCAGTCACCCCCTTTTTTGTGTCCCCATTTCTAAGCTAGCCCGAAGGCGCAATGAGAAGGACAGCAGGCAACGAAACGGGCTGAGGACGACAAAGCGTGCCAAGGAAAGGTAGACACAGGGATATTTATGTGTGTATTTGCACTGCTCTATTTAACCAGCTATAAATCAAGTCGGCTGGCTGTCTAAAGGTCGCAAACTCATCTCCAATCCGCCCCCCCCCCCCCAAATCTGTCAACAGTAATTGAGCGGTGAGGCCGTTGTACGCCACCATGCTGTTCGTGTGACGCTTCCCGAGTAAAACTCACGGTGTGGTGCCTTTGAGATGTCCCCATTTTTCTATTTGACTTGATATTTTTATGTGTGGTTATTAACTGCAAGCATATAGTGAACATCGCACATCCAATGTAGGGGAAATTATGACAGAAAGGCATTATAAGATACTTATCGCCATATGTGTGTATGTTTGGTTACTTTACAAATAAGTCCTCAGTTTGATTTTTTTTCTACATTTTCATGACAACGGAGTGATTTTTGACAAAGTCACTTGGTAGTTATGCTTTGTCTTTCAGTCGAAAAAGACTCATTTCCTGTAGGCTTCGCTTCATTTAACCACCGGGCATTTTTTTTTTCTTTTTTTTTGGGTGATTGTATCGATCCAAATTTGTGTCTCCCAGCCCTCAGTGGCCTATCTTCCTCCCCTGTGTGTTTATTAATTGGCTGATGAGGAACTCCCTGAGGAGAAAGTGGGAGATTGAACTAGCTCATTGGTAAATGGATTAATAATTCTCGTGTGTTTTTATGCAATAAATAGGCAAACATCCTTTTGCTAGCAGAAGCTTGCTTTTGTTTACCATGAGAGCATCTGTTGGTTTGGCCAATTTCGAGCGCCTGATTGTCATGGTGTGGAAATTCTGGTTCGATAATGTTCCAGCCACCAGAGGCTTTAAGCGGATATATTTTCACAGCTCAAACGTTTCGGCAAAAAACAACAACAACAACAACAAAAAAAGATGCTCAAGGATGCAGCATGCATTTGTCAAGGTTGTATCGTTATTTCAAGGCTCCTTTTATATATATACTTGGCTCTTTTTTTTTTCTCTAAACATTCTGATTTGGCTTCAATGTTCCCCCTTCTCTGTGATGTTCTTTTTTTAAGACTAGTGACATCATCATTTGCCATTTTCTTTCTCAGCCACAGTGGACATGAATGACTCCAGTAAGGGCATGTTTTGTTTTCAGTAAAGGAAGATTACAAGTGGGCCAGCGTTGGGCTATTTATCTCGCCGCCTTTGGGAGGACAGCCAACGCTGGCCTTGCTCCCTTTTATTCATCTACTTTTGTAGGAAGCTTAAATATACCCACTGGAAATTTCCCAATGTCTTAGCATTGCAGTATAACGCTGCGCCAAAGGCACTCGCGCGAGGGGGCACAACACAGTGCAGTCATAAATATACCACAAAATAATCAGCCTTTTTTTATGGCACCAACAATTCCGACAATTGTTTTGTAGCTTGAGAGAGTTTTAATGCTTCTTTGGGGACAGCAATTTAAAAAGGTGCAATATTGATAAAGTCGCACAGAACAGGGTACATGTGGTATAGTGGCGGTGCATTGGAATGGTGGTCGGGCACGTCTGCCCTGCAGTTCTGAGGATCTGGGTTTGAATCTCAGCTTCTGTCTGAGTTTGTCTTAACTCTGTTCTCATTTGATGCCCAAACCTGGTTCCTTATGAATTACTAAACCTCCCTCCCTCCCTGTTATTTCCACTTTTCTGCCCACTTTCATCCACTTTTCTCAATTTTCTCTCCACCAAGCTCTCAATCAGTGACTCACTTGGCATCGCGTCGGGAGTACGTCACCTGGGAGGGACGGCGAGGACGGAGGACGGCAGAGGGTGTGAGGGGAAGAAAATTGGAAGGAGCGACGTCTGCTGCAGTAGCAAGGTGAGTCAAGGAGGGGCTAGACATGGATGTCACGTAGGATGAAGCCCCCCCCCCCCCCCCACACACACACACACGGGTCGAACCTAGAGCCAATGCGAATGTCATTAGTCTCGCCGATGATTCTGGACCAGTAATGAGATTGCAGGGCTTTCCCCGTGAGGAAGAGTTATGTCACCGCTAACACCACGCCGGTAAATTTGCTTACACTGCTGTCAGCACACATACATGATCACTCCGTGTATCGTCACATTTCATTGTAGAGTCGGTTGTTTCAGGGTGTGAATCAGTTTGATATTAGCTCTCGACACTTTTTAATCTGTTGAATTATCAGACTGAGCGGAGGGTATTTTTCTGAAAGACACTCTGAAATCTTGTCAAGAGTGAAATCATGCTAGCTGCAAAAGGGTTCAACCAAATCCATTTTTCTTCTATTTTCAATTTGTCCAGCAATTATTATTATTTTGTTGTTGTTGTTGTTGACAATGATAATCGGGTGTCCAAAATTTTATCTCTAACGTCACTGTTCAACTGAGACCCAGCAATTATTCTTACCAATGATTCAGGTATCTAATATTTAATATCCCAATTTTTTTTTCATTGATGGTACCTTGAGTTAATGTTTTTGAAGTCTTATTTTAAAACATCATTTGGACTTGGGCAGAGTGCCTTCGTACCATTTCTGTTAATGAATAAGCTTTCACTCTTAAACCTGTAATAATGTCAATGGGGGTGCAGGGGGGTTCTTTAAAATGGCTATGCAGACCATATTCATTTGAGTTTCTCGTGGACGTCTGCTTTCTGCAGAGGGCCTTTATAGTTCGGTGTCGAGTTCGTATCTTTTGAGTGCTACCACTTTTGACACCACGTTGAATCCAGCTATTATAATTTGATGAAGTACAAATAAAAGGGTAAAACGGATTATAACATTTGAAACGGTCAAATGAAATGCAGCCGATCTACCCTCCGTCAACAGATTTGCCTCACACGCGACCCTCCCAATACAGCCAGGAGCTGTCGGTATGAATTAAAAGCTTCTGCTATCAGCCGTGGAAACGTGTTTGTTTGACCTTAACACCGAAAGAGCTTTTTGGAAGAGCGGAGCTAGATTTTGTCCGCGAGCGTTCACATGACGGACGAGACAGTGATGGCCGCCTTTGTAGTCCAGACGGCCATCCATCGCTTCGCTGTCAGCTATCATGCACAGATGGAGTGCTTGTGGAGACAAATAAAATGACACAGGCAAGGCTGAAAGAGAGTAAGTGGCCAAATGTTTGGCCATCCACAACTGCCTAATGGAGGAACATATTGTATCACACCAAAACAAAATCGGAGGAAAATAGGAAGTTAGTTGACTTGAGTAGCAATTGCAATCTGGGCATTTTCCCCACCAGATGGCATTTTTTGGTGGGGCGGGGGTTCCCCTCCGACATCATTTAGATTCACTGCGGAAATTATGTGTTCAGTGGGACCTACGCAGTCTGTTCTCATCCGCGGATCTGCTCGAAAAAACGGTCGCGCCAACAATCGTAAATGCTTATCGCAAATCCTTATGTGTGCGTTCCTCACCGAGTTGGGCCACAGATGCCATGATTGAAAAGTGAAACACTACGCGAGCCAATTGGGAAGTGAATCACGGTAGAGCTAGCGCTGTTGCTGCACGCGCAAAAAAAATAATAACTGTTTGTGTTGCATATAACACCTTTTGTTACTGTTACTAAAAAGGATCAACGTTGTATGATACTGTATATTCCTTGTTCGAAGATCGCTGTATCCAGGGGTGAATTAAGTTTAGCTCTTTGTAAGAATTGACTAAGACTGTCATGACAGCACGAGGGTCGCAAGCGTAATGGAGCCTAACCCAGCTGTCTTTGGACAGTAGGTGGGATACACCCTGAACTGGTCGCCAGTCAATCGTAGTGCATGTACATCCCTCGCCAAGTAGTTTTTAAATTTTAAACACGCAAGCAAAGGGAGGTTTCCCACCCGGGTCCATTATTCAAGCTAGCACCGCCACAGTTCATCACAACAAAAAGGACAAGGAAAAGAATTTGCAACTGCAGTTTGGCTAACAGGCCAGCTAACAGTTAGCCTAGCTTCTTCTATTATCTAGTCTAGTTATTTTTCCGGGAATGTGGACACCCTGCTTCTCACAGGTTAGTTTTGTTAGCACGTAAACAAGGGACCAATGGGGTCCCCATGGGCAACAAGTATCCCACAAGGACCACATAAGTAGCCAACCCGTGGATCTGTTCTAAAAATAGCTACTCAATGACTGGACATTGCTTTCATAGCGATTTTTGTTTTGGTTTTTTTGTGTGTGATTATATGAAAATGTCAACATTTTAATCCAGTGGTTCGATGATACAGAACGCTGTCTTAACATTGTCTTCACAAGTGTAATTCGACACAAAAGATTCATGACAAAATGTGAGATGGAGGAACTTAAGATAAAATGGAATGTCTGAGCGATAATTTTAATGCCCGGTGTCAAGGTGACATGTGCTCCTTGTCTTTCTCTGCGACGTGAACGCCCTCATCATGCCAACGAACTAGGACCCCCGTCAGCGGTGGGATTCCGCGGCTCATTTATCGCAGCCGGCTGAATGTCACCCGGTTGGGGGCGGGTGGACTCGGTGACCGCGGGGATTCCCGTTAACCAGGCGGAATGACAATTACCATCCAGACGACTTTTGGCAAGCACGGGGGAGAGGGAGAGAGATGAGTCACCGTCATGAGAGGGAGTTCAGGTCTACGATGATTCAGTACTGAGAGATGTGCTCCCAATCTGCAGGGGAGAAGCTGGAGGAGTGAGTGAGGCATTTTGGATATGTATGACAGTGATGCCTACTCTGTACTTCGATTCCAGCATATTCTCTTATCGCCCTTTATTTAATTTCCCCCAAGCAGGAAGTTTATACCACTATTAAATCCATTGCCTAGAAGGAGCGTACAGTCGAGAATGCCCTTCTCCCGCTTTTTTGCGGCAGTGGTAAGGGGAGAAGTAGAAGACTGCAGCAGTCATTGTAAGTCGAAAGACGGTGTCCAAGTACTTTTGTCCCAGTCTTTCGGTGTCATGCCGTTTTTTTGCCGCTGACTGGGCAGGAAAATTGTTGTTTGTTGTAGTTATTGCTGTGATTTTGGTAGTTTTCGGTTTGGTCCATTCCCACTGGCTTGAGAGGCTTGTCAACGAGAGTTGGTATAGAACCACTCTTGGTGACTTTGGATTTTTATCATTTGAATTTTTTTTTTTTTTTTTTTTTGTGGCTGTTGTATTGCATTTAGAGCCTCATCCGTTTGTGCCGTTTGACGAGAAGGAGCATCGAGTGAAGATGTCGACTGCTATGTTAGCTTCCTGGGCAAAGTCGCTTGTCACGTGCAGGCTAGCCGCTCAAGTCTCCTCTTCAATTGGGTTCAGTTCCAGTGATTGACTTGGCCAGTCCCCAAAAGGCGCTAACCCACTTCCACGGTTAGCTTCATGTACACACATGTAATGGGTTGTTTTTCGCTTCTGCTGGCAGCCGCCCTACTAAACATGGAGTGTTTGCACACTCCACTCACAGTTCTTGATAAGCATCTGCCTGTATGGCACTTTATTTCTTAGCAAGTCTGCTTATTGCTTGCCTCTGGACGCTTTCACGCTCCGTTTATCCATCACGGCTTGCCTCTGTAATTGTATGCACTCGTGCTTCTTACGGCAAAATTGATGCGCTGGCACGAGTCCTCCAACGCAGTGGGGATAAATGTCTGCTGGCTGACCTTGTTTCAGATTTTTCTTCTGCAGCTGGGCTTTGGTGTAAGGGGGGGCAGCAGGGTGAAACAAGAAATCAAAGGTTCAGGGAAGAATATATGTGAGAGGACAAAGGTAGTTATGCGCGCGGGCACAGTATGTAAGAATGCCCTTTTGAATTTCTTTTTTTTCCCCTTGTCATTACTTTTCTTTGGCCATGAATTGCCTTTATCAGGACTTCTGATGCGCAAAACCAAACATATGCACAAATATTATGCACCCATGTCATGTTCTTAGTTCTCGAGGCATGACACAAACACCCCCCCATGCTAGTCCCCACACCCCCCATATTAGCATGATAGTAATTTGGGGAAAATTTCAGCCCTCAAATCCAGTTTCACTCTGCAACATGAAATTTGGAGGTGCATCATGAGTACAACCACCAAAACGACCAAAATAACCCTCGCCCAAGAGGAGACAAGAAATCCACCGCTTTCGTTTTGAAGCAACAATTTTGAGCCCATTTTGACCAAGTCCGTGAGCCCTTGAAGGAAAGATTTTGCCTGACTGCTCCCAAATTCAAACCACATGCAATGGTGTCTTGAGATACGAGTCTGACTTACTCCGTGACCACACTTGTAACTCAAAACACTCGTCTCACAAAATCATCTGTCACCATAGAAATGAATGAATGAAAATGCCATTCATCTGTTTTATATATAGTATATATTATACATGCATATATACATTCGCACGTTTTCTCCTCCTCTGCCTTCAGATTGCGCTACCAATCATCCCCCGCCCGTGAAAATCTCTCCTTCCGCCGCTGCACTTCATTTCCTCTGCCTCGCTTGTGTCACTTGACTGCCAGCATCCATCTCACCTGGCCCCCGCCATGGCAGGTGAACCCGCACCGTGCCCTCGCTCCCTCTGTAATACGCAGCGGCTTTTTCAGCCGCACGAGCCGTAAGCCGCCAAATGCCACTCCTCCTTTGCTCGTGAGCAACAGGTCAAAATTCCTCAATTAGGTCTCAATGACACTTGCAGAAATGGTTTGAATTTGACGTTCATTGTCTCAATATGCTTTGCAATCAGATGTCAAGGGTACCATGATTTTGTCGAGCTGCTCATTTTTAATTTTTGTTGACTGGTCAGGGTCAAAGGGGACACCAATAAATTTGCGACCGTGCCTTCCTTTTTCTCCGTTTTTCACAAGTGCCCCCCCATCTTGACAAAACAAAAACTGCCCCCTCCCATGCCATTCACATTTCCCTCCTCTCATCTTAATCATCCCACCTCATCGACAGTCTATCGGCATCCACTCTCGCACAATCTCCGTCAAACTCGCCTGAAATAATTTATTACTTAATGGTCTATAGGAGCTCACACCACCCTCGTGGGACTGTGCTTTATTTATTGATTTTTATTTTGTGTGTGTGTGTGTGTGTGTGTGTGTGTGTGTGTGTGTGTGTGTGTGCGCGCATGCTGTGCACATAGCAAAGTCTATAAGACGCCTAAGGACATCTTGAGAATTTGCGATGCTGTTGAATTGACCCGCGGGTCGAAGAAGTATTTGGTTGGATACTCAAAGGCTAATCGGCCGTTTTGGTGCAATTTGTCCTCTGCTCAGGCCGTTATCTGCGTGTGCGTGTGTGATCCAAAAAAAAAACGAGCCTTCGGTGTGGGGTCATTTCCGTGCTACTTCAATGACGTCAAAGGGTGAGTAATGGGTTAACTTCTTTTTCACCTGTAATGCCATTTAATCATGTTTAAAAACACATTTCATTTCCTTCATGATGCAGCTATAGGGGACTTGTGATTTGGCATGTACTCTCTCACTTACCCAAAACATGTTGCGCGTTTTAGTCATTCATTCGGTGTTTGTACACACGAACGATGATGACGCTACAACTGCCCTCATCCCCCCAAAAAAAGAAAAGATGATAAAAAATTTTTGGGTCATATTTGTTAAAACTATCCGCCTGACCTCAGAGTAGCACAAGTTAAAAAAAAAAAAAAAATCTGCCGTCTCTGGCTTCCTCTTGTCCCTGCAATCCGATTTTTAAGAAACCATTGTGCCCGAGGAAAAACAACCAATCAAGGAGAGAAGGCGTGGCCAGTTTTGTGCACTTG